ATGTTTCATTATCCACTATTATTAGATAATCCCATCTAATCTCTCATTTTCATACCTTCTACAATTAGTCGTATATTAGATCTTGATGATATAGAATTTAATATAACATGACATTGATACATGGATTGATCTGTTTGTTTGACTTTACTGATATATAAATCCCATCGTGCTGGTGTTAGGGGATCAAAATTATAATGAAATACTGATATTCTTGGATCTTTTGTTATTAAATGCTTTCCAACAGTTAATGTTGTGGATGTTGTCTGATGATGATGATGATGATGATTATGATCAGTATTTAATTTATACCACATAACCTGTAAATGAAATAATGTTTTGAAAGTATAAATTGTAACAAGTATATGACTAAAGAGAGAAATTACTCGTTCTGGTTCGGGTATAAAGAGAATGGCTTTACACGGTAATATTGCCGGTTGGTCACGGGCTATTGATAAAACATCATCAACAGATGAATTTAATTCGAATGATGATGGTTGGCTGACAACTTGATCTTGATCTTGATTATATCCTTCTTGTTGCTGATATGTTCGACAAACGAGAACATCTATGAAAAAAAAACATAATAAACTCACCTAAACTAAGCACAAGATCGACTACTCTTTTATCAACAAAAAAAAAGTCAAGTTTTTTTAAATTAGATTGATTATATAAGATAATCATGTAATTTCTTATTTCCTAATTAAGAAGTATTTGATTCCTCTTTTTCTCTGATTATATCTTCTTTGAATAATAAGCTTTCTCTCTCTTTACCGGACATTACGATTTTCTTTTGTGTGCCTGAAGGGAATAATGAACGTTCTTCCCATATGTATATTCTAAAAGCTTTCCCTAGAGTGATTGTAATTGACTCTCTCTTTCTTCTAGTTCCTTACTTAACTGCTCGTTTAGTTTACTTAGTCACAGTATATTTAACAACAGTTTAAACAATAGATACATCAAAACGGAAATTCGCTTTTCTATTATTTTCGCACGCAAGAAAATGACGAACCAGATGTATATCGCATGTTTTCATTGTGATGACAAAATGATATAGATCATTATTATCGAGAGAAAGCAGCGAAAGGACATTGTCCTCTTTCATATGTTTGAAATCTGATACAGCGCCTTTGGCACTCTTTGTAAAGAGATAATGCTCTATCTACAAACCAACGGTCATGACAATCTTTTTTTATTTGCATCGTTGACAATCGCATCAAATCAGCATGAAGTCATTCTTTTTAATCAGTTTGTTCTTGATAATGTACCCATGATGCCTTTAAGGAATATATGGCACATACAAACTTCTAAATGTATCCTTGATTCAAATCTCATTTTTCTAAACTTCGATATCTTCTTCACTCAGGACTATGTCAAGTTTTTTATCTAACTTTTAAACCACTCATGCCATCTAATTTTACTTTCTTCTCTCTTCTACTCAATATGTTTCAGAATTAAAATTCTATACTTATTTGTTCCCTATTCTTGCTTGAGACATGAAGATGTTTGACTAGTTCATATAATGGCAAGCACCAATATGTCGATGAAATTATAATGTACACATTGTTCGTTTGGTGTTTTATAAAATAGTGTTTAATTGTAACATATACTTCCATCACTACCATTAATAACAAACTATAGTGACGAGAACTTCATTTCATCATCTTCTTCACTTAAAAATTATAAGTGTCGGTCTGTCTTGTCTCATTTAGAATTAATATAATATAATATACAACATAGCTATATATAAACTATAAAAGAGATCACTTCAAATAATCAAATATCAATACACATGAACTGAAAAACTCTTGACAAAATGATTTAGTTTTTGTTTAGACGGGAAAAAATCAAAAATTGACAACAAAAACTATCAAATTTCATGTGAAGGTTCTAATTTACATATACAAGAAAATGTAAAAAAAATTAGCATAAATTCAAAGACCACTGAATATGGTCTGTGAAAAATAACCAGTCGATTGAAATAAACAATGTTTTTCTCTAGATGTGATTTTTCATTGTTAATTTCAGTTTACTACTGATGAAGAGATAGTTAATGCCTCGAAACGTTTAACTTATAAACGCGATCTAATTATGACGCGAAAGTAAATTAATTTATATTAAATATACACACATGTTTGACATTCTCATACTCTTAAAAAAATGCAATTTAGGATCAAATTAAGTGGCATTAATGTACCTTATTCTGTGAAAATAAGACACATTAATGCGACTTAATTTGATCCTAAACTGCATTTTTTTTTAGAGTGCAGGATGAACTATTCTAGTTTTTTTGGGTATCCGAATTCAGATTTTTTTTTAACATAGATTTTAAAAGGCGAAGGGAAGTGAATTTTATTCTGTAATAAAATTTTTTTTGTAAACAACTCAGTTTAATCGATTACTAAGCACATTTCAAATCTTTACATATCAACTATTTTATTTTCTATATAATATTTAGCACAGCCTCTCAAAAGATTTGATTTTACTGCGCGTCAGTTGCTCGGAAAACGAGTTACTCCGTCCAGCTGAACTGGTTCGAGTAAAAAAGTACAGCTGAATAAAGATAAGTTTATACGTTACACAGAGCCACACTTACTAAAATGACAGTTTCTCACTGTCGTCGTTCATCTCGATCTAAAACTATTTTTTCAGTATTATTCAGATGAGTGAAGATGTTGATACTGCTCCAAAAATTTTAGTGACTAATAACTAAAATTTTTTCTGAGTAATTTTTTTCAAATATGGAAGAATTTTCTCCTAATCGAAACCGATGTCTGAATTACATCAAACATCCTCAAAAGTCTCTACAACTTTTAAAGACAACTGAAAAAAAATTGAATCTACCTGGACTTGAAGGTAGCATAATGAACCAGCTGTGAGATTAGATATTGTGCGATAAACGAATCCATCTTCCTCCAGAGGACATTTTTGCATCAAGCGTGCTCAAACTTTTCCTTTTGTGCTTTTTTTTCTTTTCCCGCTTTTATATCACACGAATTTTTTCTCTTCATCTTAGTTATCAATCAACTAACTAACTTCAAAAACAAAAGTATGCGAATGGAATTTGGAATGTCAATTTGAAAACACTACATTCTTCAAAAACACAACTTCATTACATGAACGTAAAAGTTGGAAAAATTATTCAAGAATTTTTAAAAACTAATCTATCCAGTCATTTTGATAGCTGATGGCTGTTGCTATTTGCACAACCTCCGCTGATCGTTGTCTTCTTTTAGCTATTAAAATCATGTCAAAAAAACGTTCTTAGATGCCGAAACATACTGCCGAGGATCCAGTGTTTTGCATACGAGGAGGGAGAAAATAGGTTAAAGCTTTTCTCGTAAAAGTAGTATGAAATTTAAGATTTTAATGCTGTTCCATAACAAAAATTTCCAAAGATAATAATGAAATCGAAATGCCAGTTAGTTGGAAGTAACCACCCTGTTCCGAAGTTAACATCCCCGCTAATAACTTGGTAAAACATTTCGCTTTTCAGTTAATGATAAAATTTTTACATGGAATCGAGAAAAATTAATTAAATTATCAGCTATAAATAAATAGAAACAGCAAAAGACTTACGAATAATGAACAATATTTTTACCACTTCGATGAATATCATTCGTTGTTGGATCAATTGAGTTCATTTTATTCGAAAAAAAAAGGATAACGCGTATACATGTCGTTATTAAACATAATAATTAGAATAAACCGTTTTCTTCTTTTTATTTTTTCTCTACAAAATAGGATTTAACATGTAGTAATCATAATTGAGACAAAATAGTCATATCGTAAGATATGTTTATAAATTGGACTCAACGTTAGCGAGAGAGAGAGAGAGAGAGAGAGAGAGAGATTTCCATGCCGCTACCAATTACAGAGGTGAAGGAGAGAAAAAAAGAGAGAGAAAAATTGAACACTAGAACCGTGCGATGTTCTCTCGTCTGTTTCTCTTGCGTTATGATGCATGATGAATTATATACAACATAAGAAAAAAAGAAAATAATAATTGTGTATATAGATGTATATAAACAAAAAGAAATTGAAAAATTCGGCGGTCTCTCTCTTTTTTTTTTTGTGTGTGTTTGAAATAATGACAAATTGACTAGATGCAGAAAATCATTTTCGAATAATGACAAAATCGATTGTAAGTTGTGCCCTTGACTGTTACACAGATATATTTGACGTTATTATTGTGTGTACATATATATATATATAAATAATAATTCCCTAAAGAAACACATGATACCAATGAATATAAATTGAAAAAATGAAGAAAAAAACTGATTGAAGCGTCTTTCAGATCATTTAATGAAAATTATATACATTACTTAACTATCTCTCTGAGAAGGTAAAATGGTCTGTTAAATGATCCAGTCACTTAGTAATATTTATTCTCCTAGAGAGAACAAAGAACATGAGTATTATTATATGATGAAATAAAATTCCCGTTCAAAAAACCTAAGTTAAGTCTTTGTACATAGGTGGTTGGTTCTTACTAGGCTTAGAAAAAGTATGACTATTTATAAGAATCATACGATCATTTTGAACTAATATCAAATACATTGGACTCAGTTGGAAATTTTTTTTTGAAGCGTTTATCCCAAGTAGATCAAGTCCTTTTTGTTTTGTGAATGAGAGCGTATATCACTTTAAAAACAAAATCGATTTTTAGTTCTATGGATCTCTTCCGTATAAATATCATTTTTGAATTCAACTTTTTCTGAATAGAACAGCAGTCAATCATTCGGAAAGAAAAACTTTTGTTCCTTTTTTTTTTCATAAAGATCTCTTTTTTTTTTATGTAGATACTTTCAATTATGCGTACGCATAGCTATATGTATATATATATACTAATCATTTATGGAACTTTTTTTTCTTCCTTCTTTCTTGTCGTTGTCGTTTATTATAACCGGAAATATAACAAACACATCTGCAAGTAATTTAATGAAAAGCATATCATGTCAAACAACATACTAGATGTCATTAAAAGAAATATATTTATTACGGAAGAATTTTGCATATATTCCTCTCTCTTTCAACTTTTAATATCTTAATAATGTTCATTACAGATTTTTAAATCATTTACTATAAGAACTTTTTTGTAATATTGAAGATTCTATCGAATATATTCATTTAGAAATGTACTTTACGGTGTTTGATCTACACCCTTCAAAGATATGTTGACTATTAATATCTGACTAATGAAGTCAATAGTCTCACAGCTATCCCAACAGTTCTCAAAATTTAACGAATACAAGACTATTTTGTGGATGTTTGCCTGGCTGTATAATAGTGAAATGACATTTATTGAAGAAAAAAATAAATTACTTTGAACAACCTTCGAAAATTTAATTTGTTAATCGCTTCTGAGCGTGTAAAAAAAGGTGCTATTTTTGGTATATACATGCATTTTGTCTCTCTCGATCTGTAAAAAAATTATGTAAAACAATTAAATCATTTTAAAGAAAATTTCGAAGCAATCACTTTAACGTTTTTCATTGTGAATTAGTTTCACCTCATTAAACGTGTGTATTCTTAACAATAGGACAAAAAAGAGAAAAGAATTGAAATAAGTAGTAATCTAAGAAACGGGACTTAATAAATGAATTGCTGAGACTCTTTTATTCGTCACAAACAAAAAGTTCTCCTCATTTATGGATTTTTTTCTCAATCGTTTTATTAAATTTTTCCTATAGTTTTTTCAGTCACAAGGTAATTAATAGAAGAGACTCGATACTTTTCTCGGCTAAACACTCGATATGAATGGTGAGACTTTTTTTTTGTAACTACAATCACTTCTCTGTATTTTAAAGAGCATGATACTTACTCTGCCTTAAAAGATCTAAATTTCTTGTTAAAAAAACAAAAAAGCGCAAATTTTTAGCTTCTTTATTGAGAAAAATAAAGTATTAGGAAAACCATTCATCTATAAATGTATTTTATGGACATCACATGTCCCGATGACTCATATTTGTTCGCGAAGACAAAATAGTGATGTGCACGGGTACAATTTTCGATTTATCCTACTGATCGGATTCGATTACACACCACCATAAGACAAAAAACTATATTCTACCTCTCAGTCACTGCGAAAAAATGTTGGTAGTTTCAAATTCTATAGAAGCAATCAACGGAAAATTCATTAAAGTAATATAAAGTTGAAAATATTTTCTTTAAAAAAAAGTAGCGTCTTGAACAACATAGTAGACTATATGTTAAACTTAATAAGAAAAGTTCAACGTATTTGAGTCCTCGAAATAGAGTTGTTTATCTTCAGGAAAGATTCTTTTGAGGAAAAAAAGAGCTTTAAGTAAAGAATGAATCAATCAAATGAAAAAAATATCTGTTTCGATCAAATTCTAGCATATTTGCATTTATTATTCTATATCATTTACACTCAATGGAGTAAACTTAATGTTTCCTGGTTGCTCTTTTAGTAGAGATCTAATTGAAAGTAAGGCGTCTTTCAATTTTAATATAACTATTAAAATGTATGTTAACCCTTTGAGTACGGAATTATTTTTTGAGAAAAATAATCCCGCAATAGTAGCGACATCCCTGTAACTCAAGAAACATGATAGCTAGGGACTTCTAATTTTGTGTGATCATAGCTCTTACTGAATGCTGATCATCCACCAAGTTTGGGCCTCTTTTACCAGATGGTTCATGAAATATAAGCGATTTATTTCTCTATTGTAAAGTATCAATAGCTCCTGACCTGAGAGAAATGAAAATTTTCTCTTTTTCATGAGTTGGCTGTTAGAAGTCAGCGAAATAAAGCTATTTTATGGGCGAGGTTGACTTTATTTTGTTGAAAATTCGAGGTTCTTTGCAAAATACATTCACAATTCTGTCTAGGAGCATCATTTTGTCTTCAAATTCGCACCAAAGGCTCTCAGTGTCTGTAGACTACTCGGTCAAAGTGTGAAGATTACCTATTGTGTGGTTCTGGAAATTAATTGAGGACGAGCATCCACGATTGAAACATACGTAGAAGAGCGAGGGTAACGAACTAAGGATCGCTCTTTGTACTATAGTATTTGCATTGAATATACATCATAATCATGAGAAAATAATCATGGAAACCTATGATTCTGAGAAACGTAGGTGAAACGTTTGTCAGAAAGATTACACACTCATCTCTAACCTTCGCTATTTCACTTATTTTGCGCCCGTTTTACTCCCCGTACATTTTCAAGCAAAACTAATAACATATCTGAGATTAGCAGACAAAATTGAGTCATTCATTTCATTGAATAATCAATACGTAATATTTACGAAAGCTATTCAGAGCGCAAACCCTCAGGACGCGAATTCACATCGCCCGTATTCAAAGGATTAAAGTCAAATATTTTCAAAAGTACAAGTGTCTGAAATGCACATACACACCATTCAAATACAATACACATTCAACAATGTCTTTATATGAGGTTTTTCTCAGTTTTGATGGTTTTATCAACTATTTCGATATATAAATCTTCCTTTTCTTTAAAAAGAAATCCAATAGATCATAGCAGATTTGTAACCGGTCCTGTCTGGCCAGACCGGTGCCGGACCGGTTGAAATGGTTGGACCGGCCGGCTTTTACTGGTCTAAAGAAATTTTTTAGTCGTAAAACTCCCTCTAGTCCCCCTCAGGATTAAGTCATAAAATGAATTTCACAATTTTCTAGATATACAATTTTTTTCAATAAAATATGTCAAGAGCAAGTCTAAGTTCTTTTATCAAAGATAATCAAATTGTTACAAAAAACATCAACCTTATTTTCTTCAATTTGTCTAAACTTTTTCATTTTTTTAATCGAAATTTTTTTAACTCCCTAAAAAGCTCAATCAGAATAGTGTTAGCTGAGAAAAACTTCTC